AAAGCAATACTTCTGTGAATTGGCACCTAAGTTCTAGGACATGGGGTAAATACAAATATGTTTGTGAGTCCAGGGACAGGCAGGGTGTTTACTCTTTACCTCAGCCATTCCCTTACCTCTTCAAATACCCTAACCCACCAAAGGAAAGACAAGATACAGCTTCATCAGTTACTCATCTCAACTGCTTTAAAGACCAAGGCAAAACACTAGCCAAGCCGACTGTAACATGCCTTAGCTGGCCATGCCCGACAATGTTCTCTCAGGCCTTCCAACCAGAAAGCAGCTTACTTACACTTTACACTAGCTGCCTCAAATCCTATCTAGAAAAAAGAACATATGTTTTTATGTAATATAAATAATTATGGCTCCACAACTTAATTTTGTATCAGTTCCAGCTACCTTTTAAGTTCAAGCTACTAAGGGAAACTCTTTACACGGTTGAAGACCCTTTCCTCAAGTACTTCCATCAAAAGGAACAGAAAAAAACACTTCCCATCCATACATGCAGGCTAAGTATTTTTGGATATTCCTACAAGCTTTTTTCAAACTGTAAATGGCTTTGTGGGTTTTTTCCTATATTCATAAAAAGCATTTTAAAAATAATCTGATAATACTAAAAGAAGAAAGCAAGTATCAGAGTATAATACCTATACCTGGAAAATTAAATTTATACATGAACATACAGATAAATTTATTTATATAGAGACAGGATCTTGCTCTATCACTCAGGCTGGAATGCAGTGCAAGGGCACAAACATAGCTCACTGCAGCCTCCAACTCCTGGGCTTAAGCAATCCTCCTGCCTCAGCCACCTGAGGAGCTAGGACTATATAGGCACGTGCCACCATGCTCGGCTAATGTTTTTTAAAAATTTTCTTTCTGTAGAGATGGACTCTCTTCTCTTATGTCGCCCAGCTGGTCACAAACTTCTAGCTTTGAGCAATCTTCCCAACGTTGCCTCTCAAAGTACCAGGATACAGGCACGAGTTACCACGCCTGGCCAATATATTTTTGACTAAATAGGTTCATCGTGGCTGGGCGTGGTGGCTCACGCCTGTAATCCAAGCACTTTGGAGGCCAAGGCGGGTGGATCACCTGAGGTCGGGAGTTCAAGACCAGCCTGACCAACATGGTGAAACCCTGTCTTTTAAAAAATAAAAATAAAAATAAATAAATAAAAAGGAAAAAAATTAAAAAAAGAATAGGTTCATCGTTTACATGTCTCTTTAATTGATTTTTCCCCAAAAAACAATATGCCAGGGATGAGTAATTGTAACTACCCACCAGGTCAAGTTTCTTTTCTTTGCAAAAATGGAGTAGGTTGAATAGTGGCCCCCAAAAATACACGTCCAAGTCCTATCTCCAGGTATGTATCCTTATCTGGATAAAGAGTCTTTACAGGTGCAAGTGAGAATTTCAAGATGAGATCGTTCTGAATTAACAAAGTAGGCCCTAAATTCAATGACAAATATCCTTATAAGAGATAGAACAGAGGACAGGGTAAGTGGCTGGTACCATTTGGCTCTGTCACCACCCAAATTTCATCTTGAACTGTAGCTCCCATAATTCCCACCTGTTGTGGGAGGGACTCAGGGGGAGATAACTGAATCAGGGGGAGATAATTGAATCACTGGGGCAGTTCCCCCATACTGTTCTCCTGGTAGTGAATAAGTCTTATAAGATCTGATTTTTTTTTTTTTCCCCGAGACGGAGTTTCGCTCTTGTTACCCAGGCTGGAGTGCAATGGCGCGATCTCGGCTCACCGCAACCTCCGCCTCCTGGGTTCAGGCAATTCTCCTGCCTCAGGCTCCTGAGTAGCTGGGATTACAGGCACACGTCCACCATGCCCAGCTAATTTTTTTTGTATTTTTAGTAGAGACGGGGTTTCACCATGTCGACCAGGATGGTCTCGATCTCTCGACCTCGTGATCCACCCGCCTCGGCCTCCCAAGGTACTGGGATTAGAGGCGTGAGCCACCGCGCCCGGCCAGATCTGATATTTTTTTTTTTTTTTTTTTTACAAATAAAAGTTTATTGTACAAAATTAAGGCCTTCATATTTCATAGTTCACCAAAGCTAAAGGAATACTAGTGTAAGTCCTTCACAAAAATTTCATTCACTCCCCCTAATCTCTATTAAAATGACCCAACTAAATGTTATCAAAACACACACATAATACCAAGTCCTTTAAAGACGACTATCCCAAATGTTATTTCTTGGCATAGGTGATCTTCATAGCATGGGATGGTGTGATCTTAAATCCCTGTAAAGCATCCCTGGCAGCTCCAGCCTGCCCATCATTTTCAAATTCAACAAAAGCAATGTCATGCCTCCCCGGTACTAGACGTACTTCCTTGAAGCCAGGAAACTGATTAAACAGCATGGATAACATCATCTCGTTAGTCTCTTCTGGTAAGTTATTAAGGAATAAAATACAGTTTGGAGGGTAATCAGGGACCTGAGGATTTGGTGTTGAATTTCCTTGGGTATTGGCTGAATTTGGAGTTCCCTGGCCAGGCTTTTTGTTTGTGGTTGTTGCAGTCTGTTCCACAGTTTTGGCTTTTTTCTTTTCTTTTTTCTTTTCTTTGTCAGCAAAAGTGCCACGCATTTTAGATATTATATCCGAATCTGTCTTTGCATACTGTATTCGCATTGGTTTACCATAAAATGGAAATCCTTGTAACTGTCTCAAAGCATTTGTGGATGAGCCCAGTTCCTTAAATATGACAAAGGCCTGCCCCCTCATCTTCATTGTCTTTAAAGCCACAATGTCCACCACATGACCAAACTGAGAAAACAGGGCATAGAGGGATCTCTTCAATTCTTCCTTTTTAATTTTGTCATTCATATTGTTGATATAAATTGTATGATTCGGTCTGATATCCATGTTTGTGTTAAATTCTTCAAAAACAGTAAATAATCTAAGGCGTACGCCGTCGCTCGTCCAGATCTGATATTTTTATAAGGGGGAAACCCCTTTCGCTTGGCTGTCATTCTCTTGTCTGCCACCATGTAAGATGTGCCTTTTGCCTTATGCCCTGATTGTGAGGCCTCCCCAGTTTAAGGTATGTCTTTATCAGCAGTGTGAAAATGGACAAACACAGTGGCTCACACCTGTAATCTCAACTTTGGGAGGCCAACACAGGAGGATCACTTGAGCCTAGGATTTTGAAATCAGCCTGGGCAATAGATACTCCATCATTAAAACAAAAAGAGAGAGAGAAAGAGAGGAGGCCATGTGAAGACAGAGGTGGAGACTGGATTTATGTATCCACAGCCAAAAAATGCATGGGGCTACCAGAGACTGGAAGAAGCAGAGTATTCCCCTTGAGTGCCTTCAGAGAGACTATGGCCCTGCAGACACCCGGATTTCAGACTTCTGGCCTCTGAACTCCAAGAGAATAAACTTCTGTTGTTTCAAGACACCAAATTTGTGGTGTTTTGCTACAGCAACCCTAGCAAACGAACACATAGTGAGCATTCTAAGCTTTTGTATTATGAACCCAGCCTGCTCTCCAGCCCCATTTTCCAGCTCTTCTCCAGCTTTATGCTCCTGTTTTGCCTCGTTTACTATATTGCCCAAAGCCTTTGCATGTGCTGTTCCACTGCACTAATTACTCTTTTCCATTCTTTACCCATCTCTTCAAGACTTGTTCAGGGAATGTTAGTGAGCCCTGCTCACCACCCGGCAATGCCCCTTATCAGCAGCATATAGTTCTTTTCATAGCCCTGAATCATAGTTTGTATCTTTACCAGTGTGATTGTTAGAATCTGCCTCCCTACCAAATTCTACTCTGCAGAGGAATAGGCGCGTTTCCCCCCCTCCCCACCGTTGTATTCCCAGTCTAGCCCTGTGCCTGCTGTGCCAGAGCAATCCCTTCTGAATGAATGAAAAGCCACCTGGCCAGTAGAGCTGTAGACCCAGGAACCTCCACAGCCTCTGGAAGGGCTGTGAGCTAGGAAGGGTGACCACGACATGTATTCCTCAAAGCCCATCACTTCTGAGAGCGAAAAGGGGCACTCTTCACACTTAGGAGTTACCACGTTACAGTTCTAGCCCTGAGTAACAGGCTGTGCTTGCTGGCCACCGGAACAAGGCGAAGACAGGAATCTAACTAGAAGGGGAGGGGCTACAACATTATGAGGGAATGGGGAGAGGGTAATTTAAATTTGCTTACCTGTCCCTGCATTTTAACTCGTGTCTTCTATATTACTGCTCATTCGTTGGTCCCCCTCTTTAGAATATAAGCTCTGAGGGGCGGGCTTGGCCTGTTTGTTCATTGCTATATCCCACTGCTGAGTGCCTGGTGCATAGTAGCCGCTCAATAAACATCTGAATGAATGTACTCACAGCTTAGTGCTATGCTCCAAGTGAATAAAGGATGAAGAATCATAATACTTAAAAATCCAACAGGCCAGGCACGGTGGCTCACACCTGTAATCCCAGCACTTTGGACGGCCCAGCCAGAAGCTTAAGCCCAGGAGTTCGAGACCACCTGGGCAACACAGTGAGACCCCTATTTCTATTAAAAAAACAAATCCGAACAAAACCGAGACTTCACAGTCAGAAAGCGGAAGGCTCAAGACCAGAAGGGGTAGGAGGCCCACCCAATTGCCAAGGTCCTGGGCCGAGGACGATACGCTGAGGGGAGCGGCGGCTGAGCGCGGGCCTGGTTGAACACTGCTCCCACCGACCCCACCTCCGCCCAGCCGCAGCCCCGCCACCACCTCTAGGTCCCCAGGCCCCCTCTGGCCTCCGCCCTCCTGACACACCGTGATCCCCGCCGCCCCCTCCCCAAATTCCGTCGTACTCCAGGAACCCCCATCCGCAGACCCCACATGGCCTCGGAACCCCGGCGCTCCCGTCCTTGGGATTCCCGCGGCCCCGGCGCCCAGGCCGGCCCCGACCCCGCCCCCGGCCAGTGCGTCCAGGCTCGCGCCGCGCAGCGCCCCCTCCGCGCCGGCCTCTGCGGCTGCGCGCTAGCGGGGCTGAGGCCGAGGGGAGGGGGTCGCGCCGGGGGCCGGCGGAGCTCCTGTGGCGGCAGCGGTGGTAGCGGGAGACGGAGCGAGCCCAGCGGCCGCGGGCAGGCCCGGAGGGAACGGAGGAAGCGGTCATGTCTCGCTACACCAGGCCCCCCAACACCTCCCTGTTCATCAGGAACGTCGCGGACGCCACCAGGTGAACGGCCGCGGCTGCAGGTTGGGGGCGCGGAGGACGGGTAGGGCAACGGCCGCGCCGCGGAGCCGGGCCGAGGCCCGGCGGGGCGGCACGGAGCCTCCCCGCGGGCCGTGGCTGCGCCGCCGGCGGAGGCACCTCCCCGGGGGAGGTGTGAACCTTCGGGCCACTCCGCGGCCTGGGCGGGACTCGCGCGTCCGCCCTCCCGGCCGGGGTTCAGCCCAGGCGCCGCGCACACCGCGTCCCGGGCCCACGCCACCTCAGCCGGCGGGCGGTGGGGCAAGGGGCGCCCCTCTCCGGGGCCCGGGTCGCTCCCCGCCTCGAGCCGGGAGGGTTTGCGCTCGAGCGAGTACCCGCGTTTCAGCCCCTTTGTCACTGTGCGGCGATAAAACCGCGCGTCCAGCCCTTGCAGATGAAGAGGAATTGGGGCTGGTGAGAACGTACCGTACCGTAATGCGTACTCGGGCCTTACAGTTTCTTTCCCCCAGTTCTGATCTACTTACAGACGGTGCTGCTTACATTTCATTCACATAATGTTATTCTGCATACAAAAGATAACTTCAGTGAATGACATCAGTGCGTTTTTCTTTAAAGTTCCGAGTCCAGTATTAATACTCCTTTAAACGGCTTGGATGGACTCACCTGGTTGATCCTGAGTCTCAGTCCTTGCTGCCGCACCCCGTCCTCCTTTGAGAAGTCTGTCCACAGAGTGTCTGAACACAGATTTTAGGGAATGACTTCTTCATATAGCACTTCCTTCCTTAATGGAGCTGGAGGGATTGGGGGAGGGTGGGATAGGGACCAGTGTTAATAGACATTTTCTTTTTCTTTTTCTTTTTTTTTTTTGGCATAGTTTCGCTCTTGTTACCCAGGCTGGAGTGCAATGGCGCAATCTCGGCTCACCGCAACCTCCGCCTCCTGGGTTCAGGCAGTTCTCCTGCCTCAGCCTCCTGAGTAGCTGGGATTACAGGCACGCGCCACCATACCCAGCTAATTTTTTGTACTTTTAGTAGAGACGGGGTTTCACCTTGTTGACCAGGATGGTCTCGATCTCTTGACCTCATGATCCACCCGCCTCGGCCTCCCAAAGTGCTGGGATTACAGGCGTGAGCCACCGCGCCCGGCGTTAATAGACATTTTCATTTCACTAAGCTTATTTCATTTACTTGCCCCTAACCTTTCTACCTATGCAATATTGTTTTATTGTACATAAGGGAGAGCAGAAGCTACGAGTTTTTGTTTTTGTTCTTTCCATGCTGTTGTCAGTAAACAATATAAGAAGCTAAGCGTTTTAATGACTTACCCGGGGCCAGACAGGTGCAGATATAAGGATCTCTTGACTCCATAGTCATCTGGAGTATCATAATTTACCTTTGAGGAGTAAATAAACGTTAAGTATTTTTTAATTATTTATGTTTTTGAGACAGAGTCTCACTGTTGCTCAGGCTGGAGTGCAATGGCCCAGTCTTGGTTCACTGCACCTCCACCTCCTGGGTTCAAGCGATTCTCCTGCCTCACCTCCCTAGTGATGGGAGTACAGGCATGTGCCCCCCCACACACACATCTAGCGAATTTTAGTGTTTTTAGTAAAGATGATGTTTCACCATGTTGGCTAGGCTTTCCTGACCTTAACTGATCTGCCCACCTCAGCCTCCCAAAGTGCTAAGATTACAGTCGTAAGGCACGGCGTATTTTTTATTTGATCACCCCAAGTACATATATCACAACTGTATGCTGTGATTAATATATCTTCGTTAACATCTAAAAGATGCCTCGTTTACATTTCTTCTCCCAGCCTGTTTATCAATATATTACATAGAAAACACGAGCAAAATTTATAATTTGGGCAGAATAAAAAAAAAAATCTTGCAGTTGAACAGACAGTTTGAAAACAGAATAAGTATCAAGACTCTTCAGGGTGTATGCAGAAAAATCAAAGGTTTCCAATTATAATGGCCACAGAAATTGAAGCTGCCAGCTTATAAGGCACAGTAGAATGGTGTGGACTGTAGCAAATAGAAAAGGAAATGTGACGTCTAAAAGCAGCATCTGCCTCTAAACTCCATCTGACAGCTGCCATGTAGACATTTGGACTTCTTGTTGACATTATCTTTCTAGTTTTCAAGAGAAGTCAGAAATCTGGATTTTGTATGTGTAAACTCAGTCTTTAGATGTTAGCATTTAGTAAGTTGAATCCTATGAAAATCCCATTTGTAGAGTTAAAAACTGTAAAATATAAGACCAGGTGCGGTGGCTCATGCCTGTAATCCCCGCACTTTGGGAGGCAGAGGCAGGCGGATCACCTGAGGCCAGGAGTTTGAGACCAGCCTGGACTACATGATGAAACCCCATCTCTACTTAAATACAAAAATTAGCCAGGAATGATGGCTCGCAGCTGTAATCCCAGCTGCTTGGGAGGCTCAGGCGTGAGAATTGCTTGAATCCCGGAGGTGGAGGTTGGCAGTGAGCTGAGATCAGGCCACGTCACTCCAACCTGGGCAGCAGAGTGAGACTTTGTCTCAAAAATAAAAAGTTGTAAAATATAGCCTGGTGTGTGACACACCTGTAGTCCCATTTACTGGGGAAGCTGACGTGGGAGGATCACTTGAGCTGGGGAGGTCAAGGTTACAGTGACCTATGATTGCACCACTGGACTCCAGCTTGGGTGACAGAGAGACCTTGTCTCTAAACAAATAAAAGCTGTGGCCGGGTGCAGTGGCTCATGCCTGTAATCTCAGCACTTTGGGAGGCTTAGGTGGGCAGATCATGAGATCAGGAATTTGAGACCAGCCTGGCCAATATGGTGAAACACTGTCTCTACTAAAAATACAAAAATCAGCTGGGCGTGGTGGTGCATGCCTGTAGTCCCAGCTACTTGGGAGGCTGAGGCAGGAGAATTGCTGGAACCTGGGAGGTGAAGGTTGCAGTGAGCCGAGACTGCACCACAGCACCCCAGCCTGGGTGACAAAGTCAGACTCCATCTCAAAAAAAAAAAAAAAGACAAAAAAAGAAATCAGGTCTTGCCGTGTCTCCCAAACTGGCGTGCAGTAGCATGATCATGGCTTACTGCAGTCTAAGTCCTGGGCTCAAGTGATCCCTCTGCCTCAGCCTCCTGAGTAGCTGGGATTATAGCCACCATGTCCAGCTGATTTTTATTTTATTTTTTGTAGAAATGGGGGTGTCATTATGTTGCTCAGGCTGGTCTTGAACTCCTGGGCTCATGCAGTCCTTCCACCTTGGCCTCCCAGAGTGCTGGTATTACAGGTGTCAGCCACTATGCCTGGGCAACAGTGGGAATTCTAACACATGTTTTCGGAAGTGTAAGTTGGTTGGGCCACTTTAGAAGAACATACAGTGAAGCTGAGATGGGCATACCCTCCAGCCCACCAATAATTCTTTGCTCGTGATACTGAAGCAGAATAGGGTCTGGAGGCAGGGAACTTAAGACTGATTGATGCTGACTTCCTATAACTGAATCAAAAGGAGAACTCCACCTCTCTACACCCAAGTAACAAAAGGATCAGAGGCTACTCCCTTTACGCTGCATTGCAGATGAAAAATGGAAACTACCTCTGACTGGTCCCAGGCCACCTCTTCATGTGTAACTTTGAACCTTCACTTCAGCCTCTGACTGGTTGCCCGTCAAGTTTTCATTTACATAGGGTGTAACCAAGTGACCAATGGGAAACCATAGAGGGCATTTAAACCCTAGAAATTTCTGTAACCAGTACACTTGAACCACTCGTTTCAGTCTGCTCCCACTCTGTGGAGTAACCTTTCATTTCAGTAAATCTGTGCTTTCATTGCTTCATTTTTTTCATTGCTTTGTGCGTTTTGGTCCAATTCTCTGTTAAAAATGCCAAGAACCTGGAGGACTCATATTCAAGACCAGGCGTCCCCAAACTACAGCCCGCGGGCCGCATGCAGCCCCCTGAGGCCATTTATCCGGCCCCCCGCCACACTTCAGGAAGGGGCACCTCTTTCATTGGCGGTCAGTGAGAGGAGCACAGTATGTGGCGGCCCTCCAACGGTCTGAGGGACAGTGAACTGGCCCCCTGTGTAAAAAGTTTAGGGACGCCTGGTCAAGACCCTCCATTGGTAACAGAAGGATATAATATCTAATTTCTTTAAAAATACTGAAAATTATGGCAAATATGGCAAATACTGAGATGTTTGGTAGATACATGAGTATTTATTATTCTCTGTGTTTTTTTTGAATGTTGAAGTAGATCATACCAAAAGTGCAAAAATAAGTGAAAACAAAACAATAGCTAACAGGTGAGGGAGTGGAGACAATGAATGGGAATTGGTTCTTTTGAAAAGATCTGTTCCATCCGACTCCCATCACCCTTGGCTTCCAGGACTCCAAACCTCTGTGACACACAGTGCTCCAGCTTCCACCTTTATATGATCTATGATCGCTTTCCTCTTAGCCACTACATTTGGTTGATGGGATTGGTTGTCTAAGAAGACCTTCTTTTGAATCCTAGCTCTGCTACTGGCTGTGTAGATCTCTGGGCAAGGTAACTTCTCTCATTCTCAGTGTCCTTTACTCTTAAATGGTAACAATAATGTGTTCTTTACTCATTGATAGGCAAATGTATGTTGAGTACCTACTGTGTGCCCAGCAGATACATTAGGTACAGAGATATGCTGGTGAAGACACCTGCTTTAGCAATGATTCTGAACCTTCAGTCTCAGAATTGCCTGTGAAATCCTGAAAAATTTAAACATAATTTAGGCCTCACTATGGAAAACACTAATTAGGTCCAGAGTTAATGCATCAGATTGGGGTGCCTCTGTCTGTAACATTCCCCTCATAGATGATTACAATATTCAGGAGAGGTTGAGACTCTTTATGCCAGTCTATGATCTGTGGGAGCAGGAATTGTATATTCCTTTTTTCTCACCATGTTCCTGGAAACTTGCACATAGTAAGTGCTCAATAAATATTTGCTGAATTCTGAATAAGTGAAAGAAAAAAGACATTGTCACAGTCTTCAAAAACTAATAGTAAAAACAAACATGTTATATGAATGTTAAATTAAATAAAGTATGTCATAATATTAACTGTGCTACTGGCATATAGTAGATGCTTCATCAATATTAATTCAATCTTATGTGTAATAATTTCTTTTTCTTTTTCTGTTTTTTTTTTTTTGAGACGGAGTTTCACTGTTGTTACCCAGGCTGGAGTGCAATGGCGCGATCTCGGCTCACCACAACCTCCGCCTCCTGGGTTCAGGCAATTCTCCTGCCTCAGCCTCCTGAGTAGCTGGGATTACAGGCACGCGCCACCATGCCCAGCTAATTTTTTGTATTTTTAGTAGAGACAGGGTTTCACCATGTTGACCAGGGTGGTCTCGATCTCTTGACCTTGTGATCCACCCACCTCGGCCTCCCAAAGTGCTGGGATTACAGGCTTGAGCCACCGTGCCTGTCCTTCTTATGTGTAATAATTTCTAAATTCCCATCTGTAGCCTTAATCACTGGCTTCTAGTCTTGAGACTTAATTATTTTAATTATTAATTATATTAATACACATTAATATAATGCATGTAATAATTTTCAGTTCTTATAGAACTCTTATCATTCTTATCAATGTTCTACCATCACCTCAAATTCTGCATTTCTAAACCTGGAAGTTGTTTTTTTTTTGCCTCTTTTCTCCCTCCTTGATCTAGCTTAGCTCTCTTTTCTAATTTTTGTAACTGACACCAACTAATTTTGTAACTGACACTAACAAGCTAGAAGCTTATTATTCATCTTTGAATCTTTATTTCTCCCGAGCCACATTTTGTGATCATAGCATGATGCTGAATCCCCATGATAGCACCATGAAGTAGTAGGGTGGTTAAGAAGATGGACTAGGCTAGGCATGGTGGCTCACGGCTACAATCCCAGCACTTTGGAAGGCCAAGGTGGGCAGATCGTGAGATCAGGAGATTGAGACCATCCTGACCAACATGGTGAAACCTTTTCTCTACTAAAATGTGAAAAAATTAGCCGGGTATGTGGTTAATTTTTATGATGGTGCTTGCCTGTAGTCCCACTGAGGCAGACAAATTGCTTGAACCTGGGAGGCCAAAGTTACAGTGAGCTGACATCGCACCACTGCACTCCAGCAAGGCGACAGAGCAAGTCTCTGTTTCAGGAAAAAAAAAAAAAAAGGAAGAAAGAAAGAAAAAAGAAGATGGACTAGTGTGAGACTGAAAATTTGATTTCTGGCTCTGTCACTTGCTGGCTCAGTAACCTTAGAAGGGTTAATCTGTCAATATCACCTGTAATCTATTTGTATCACCTGTAAATAACCTGTAATCTGTCTGTATCACCTGTAATCTGTTTATATTACCTGTAAATAACTACAGGGATCTTGTAAGAATTAAATGGTTGTAAGGTGAACAGAAGCCAATATATAAATGCAATGTAACTGTTAGCTATTACTGCTAAATATTTTCTCTCTTGGGTTAAATTGTAGCCTCATGAAGATTAATATCATGCTATTTAATTTTTTTTATATCCCTCTTGAAGTACCTAATCACACTAGAAGGCATATAGCAGGCTCAAAATACTTGTCCAATTTGGGAATATAGTAGTTACTTTGTTTTATGTTTAATATTAGAACACTCATTTTCTTTTTCTTTTTTTTTTTTTTTTTTGAGACGGAGTTTCGCTCTTGTTACCCAGGCTGGAGTGCAATGGCGCGATCTCGGCTCACCGCAACCTCCGCCTCCTGGGTTCAGGCAATTCTCCTACCTCCGCCTCCTGAGTAGCTGGGATTACAGGCACGCGCCACCATGCCCAGCTAATTTTTTGTATTTTTAGTAGAGACGGGGTTTCACCATGTTGACCAGGATGGTCTCGATCTCTCGACCTCGTGATCCACCCGCCTCGGCCTCCCAAAGTGCTGGGATTACAGGCTTGAGCCACCGTGCCCGGCTAGAACACTCATTTTCTTTAACGCCTGAGAAATAATTTTAGGGCTTTAGAATCTAATTCTTACAATATGAAAACAAGATTAACATAAACATGAAATTATAGTGAGGCACTTATGGAATGATGATGCTATAAAAGAAAAAGAAAAATTATACTGAGGCAAAATGAATGTGTTCTTAGTGAAACAATTACTTACTTGGTCTTATAATAACTTTCAGAGGTAGATATGCTCGGTCAGTGTTTCTGGAATTTAGGCATAACAACCACCTGGAGTGCTTGTAAAGATACAGATTTCCAGCCTCTAATCCAGACTACCTGAATCAGAACCTCCAAGAGAGGTCTGAGAATCTGGGGGGTTATGGTTTTTTTCTTTTTTTTTTTTTTTTTTTAGGACAGGGTGTCTCACTCTGTCACCCAGGCTGGAGTACAGTGGTGTGATCTTGGCTCATTACAGCCTCAACCTCCCTGCACTCAGGTGATTCTCCCACTTCAGCCTCCCGCATAGATGGGACTATAGGCACATGCTACCAAGTCTGGCTAATTCTTGCATTTTTTGTAGAGACAGGATTTCACTATGTTGCCCAGGCTGGAGTTCAGGAGTTCCTTGGTTCCCCAAAAGGAACCACATACCTTGGTTCCCCAAAATGCTGGGATTGTAGGTGTGAGCCACCATGCCTAGCCTGAGAATGCTTTTTTTTCTTTCTTTTTTCCCTTCCTTTCAAAACCTTGCATGATTCTTCCCCCCCCACCCCCAGATGGAGTTTTGCTGTTGTTACCCAGGCTGGAGTGCAATGGCGCGACCTCGGCTCACTGCAACCTCCACCTCCTGGGTTCAAGCAATTCTCCTGCTTCAGCCTCCCGAGTAGCCGGGACTACAGGCACGCACCACCATGCTCGGCTAATTTTTTGTATGTTTAGTAGAGACAGGGTTTCACCATGTTGACCAGGATGGTCTCGATCTCTTGACCTCATGATCCACCCGCCTCAGCCTCCCAAAGTGCTGGGATTATAGGCGTGAGCCACCGCACCCAGCCTAACCTTGTATGATTCTTACAAAAAACTATTTTTTAGGTAATGCTGGTCTAGATGATGTTCTTTCTTTTGAAGATTTCAGGGGGATTTCTGTAGGCAAGATATTTTAATCCAGCTATTCATATTTCTTTGCCTTATTTCTAAAACACTTCAGGCCTGAGGACTTGCGCCGTGAGTTTGGTCGATACGGCCCTATAGTAGACGTTTACATTCCACTTGACTTCTACACGCGCCGCCCAAGAGGATTTGCTTATGTTCAATATCCTTTATTTTATTGTGTGCATGTGAATATACTGCATATGTGTGCTTATACATATATGTATTCAGTAGCATATGATATTAATATTGCCTAATTAAATGTGTTTATTTCTTTATCTCAGAAGATCTAAAGCAGTCCACAGTAGCTGGCAAGCGCCCCCCAGTTTGAACCAACCTGTTAGCTAGAATCCAAGCATAAATCCAGCAGGCGAGACAAAAGGCACCTAAAGTTCAAGCATCAAGGAGTAAAGAGGGAGGGTGGACACAGATATAAAGACCTGGAAGAGGGGAAGTCTTTATCAAGCAAAAGACAAAGCCAACACCAGGTTGAGACTTCGGCTTTCCTACATTTACTCAGAGTTCCAGAATCAAAGCCAAGTCTGATTTTGTTGGTTCTGCGTCTCTTATAAAGTCCACCTTGCAAGCCTTAAAGAGTAAAGGTCAAGGTTCAAGATCAAGTGACATTGAGGTAATTGCCAAAGTCTCATTTTATATTGCATTTCTTGAGCTTTTTCTGTTTGTTATATTTTTAATTAAACTAGTAAAAATCTTCTTAAAAAAGTCATTTATTTTTATATAGCTAATTTCCATTATAGCTAGGTTTAATATTATATAATTTATATACATAAGGAAGTTTAGTGGGATTTACAAACCAATATATGTAATTCCAGATATTTACAGATTGCTTTTATGTTTCTTTTATATCTATATCCCAAGTAGTAAAAAGAGAAATGTTTGGCCAGGCACAGTGCTCATACCTGTAATCCCAGCACTTTGGGAGGCTGAGGCAGGTGGATCACCTCAAATCAGGAGTTCGAGACCAGCCTGACCAACATGGTGAAACCCCGTCTCTATCAAAAATACAAAAATTAGCTGGGTGTGGTGATGTGTGCCTGTAATCTCAACTACTCCAGAGGCTAAGGCGGGAGAATCTCTTGAACCCCAGAGATGGAGGTTGCAGTGAGCTGAGATCACACCATTGCACTTCAGCCTGGGTGACAAGAGTGAAACTCCCTCTCAAAAAAATAAAAAATAAATGTTTAAAGTGGTAGATTCAAAGGCAGATATCATTTTTAAAGGACTGAATCAGTTTTTATTTTAACTTGCTTGTATATGTCTGGTTTTGTTTGTAAGTAATCTTTCTTAAATGTCAAATTTAAAAGTCTTTTAATGAAAGAGTAATTTTAATTTCAGAATAAAGGCTTCTGCATGCTGATATTCAGTGAAAAACCTGATGGATCCTTTATCTGAAAGAAGGGAGTGAGTCCTAAACGGTTTATAATTTTATAATGCTAGCCAATTTTGGACTTTTTTTTTCTTGTAGGTCAAATTATACATGCATACCGCAGCTACACTATTATAGACACTAAAGGTATAGTTACACGTTTGCTTTTCTTTTTATTTTTAGACTCACTCTTCTAAGTGAGAAGAAGTGAGAAAAAGTGAAAGCTTTTTTCTGATTATTCATATTATATTGAAGATGTGAGCTTAGTAACTTGAACTTTATTTTCCTGTTAATTTCATTTCACATGTAAATAATATTTTTAAAATATGTTTACTTGATATCTCATGTTCAAAGTGTCCTTAACAGCTAGTCATATTTGAAGATGTTCGAGATGCTGAAGATGCTCTTTATAACCTCAATAGAAAGTGGGTATGTGGCCGTCAAATTGAAATACAGTTTGCACAAGGTGATCGCAAAAGTAAGTGTGACTAAATGTTAGATTTTATTTATTCAGCAGAATGAGTTTTAGTGATGACTGATTTTTTTAATGTAAAATTCTTTCAGAAAATGATTACTAGTTGAGTGGCTGTTACTGTGGTATTCAGGTAACGAATTGTAAGTCTTGTTCTTGATGTTCCAGCACCAGGCCAAATGAAATCAAAAGAACGTCATCCTTGTTCTCCGAGTGATCACAGGAGATCAAGAAGCCCCAGCCAAAGAAGAACTCGAAGTAGAAGTTCTTCATGGGGAAGAAATAGGAGGCGGTCAGACAGCCTTAAAGAGTGAGTACAGGGCCGGGTGCGGTGGCTCAAGCCTGTAATCCCAGCACTTTGGGAGGCCGAGGCGGGTGGATCACGAGGTCGAGAGATCGAGACCATCCTGGTCAACATGGTGAAACCCCGTCTCTACTAAAAATACAAAAAATTAGCTGGGCATGGTGGCACGTGCCTGTAATCCCAGCTACTCAGGAGGCTGAGGCAGGAGAATTGCCTGAACCCAGGAGGCGGAGGTTGCGGTGAGCCGAGATCATGCCATTGCACTCCAGCCTGGGCAACAAGAGCGAAACTCCGTCTCAAAAAAAAAAAAAGAGTGAGTACAAAATACAGGGACTGAAAACTTTATTTTCTACTTTTTCTGGAAAATATATATGTGTATTTTTTGATAGGGTCTCACTGTTTACCAGGCTGGAGTGCAGTGGTGCACAATCGTGGCCCTCTGTAGCCTTGATCTCCCAAGCTCAAGCAATCCTTCCACCTCAGCCTCCCAAGTAGCGGATACTACAGGTGTGCACCATCCCACCAGGCTAATTTTTTTAAATTATTTTGTAGAGATGGTGGTGGGGGGTGGGGGAGGTCCCTGATATGTTGCCCAGACTGGTCTTAAATTCCTGGGCTTAAGTGATTCTCCCGCCTCAGCTTCCCAAAGCTCTAGGATTACAGGTTGTGAGTCATTGCACCCAGCCTGGAAAATATTTTAAAGTTTTTATAAACAGTCCACTTGAGTCATTTTGTTTAAGGTACAAAAATAATCAATTTCTGTTCAAAGATAGTGCTCTTCTCTATTTATCATATACTGTTACTTAACTTGGGTTTATTGGATTCATTCTTAGGTTAAAGGTACAGACTTAACTTTTTTATATGAGAAGATAATATATAGTGAACAAAAAACAAAAAGTAAGAAAATACATACTCGGCTGGGCGTAGTGGCTCACACCTGTAACCCCGGCACTTTGGGAGCCCAAGCCAGATGGATCACAGTTCGGGAGTTCAAGACCAGCCTGACCAACATGGTGAAACCCCGTTTCTTTTTTTGTTTTGTTTTGTTTTGAGACGGAGTTTTGCTCTTGTTACCCAGGCTGGAGTGCAATGGCGCGATCTCGGCTCACCACAACCTCCGCCTCCTGGGTTCAGGCAATTCTCCTGCCTCCGCCTCCTGAGTAGCCGGGATTACAGGCACGCGCCACCATGCCCAGCTAATTTTTTGTATTTTTAGTAGAGACGGGGAAACTCCATCTCTACTAAAAATACAAATATTAGCCAGGCATAGTGGCACACACCTGTGATCCCATCTACTCAGGAGGCCGAGGTGGGAGAATCACTTGAACTGGGGAGGCACAGGTTGCAGTGAACTGAGATCGCACCACTGTACTCCAGCCTAGGCGACAGAGCAAGACTCCATCTCAAAAAAAAAAAAAAAAAAAATTCTTGTACTACTTGTTGGGTAAAAGAAAAATTTAAAAAATAATAATAAGGTGATAAATATTAGATAAATAAAATTTTCCTAAATGTGCCCAACAATTTGGAATCTTCAACTTTAAAAATGTTTAAATGCATAAGAAATATAATAAAATGACCAGGTACAGTAAGCTCAGCACTTTGGGAAGCTGAGATGGGAGCATCACTTGATGCCAGGAGTTCAAGACTAGCCTGGGGCAACAGAGAGAGACCCCCATCTCTGCAAAAAAAAAAAAAAAAAAAAACAAGGAAAAAAGACATATAATAAAATTCCTTATGAAAGGTGATTGACTAAAGTTAATGTAAATCAGTTTACTTGTGAAAGGTAAATTATTATCAAGAATAAGTTCCAAGTATGGCAGTATTGAAGAAGACATATTAAATAGTAATTTGGGGGGAGGGGGAAAGATATTTGCAAGTTATTTATTTTGCTAGCCAGGAGTTTATTTCTATTAGAATAATAAGTGAATCACAACAAAAATTATATGGACCGGGTATGATGGCTCACACCTGTAATCCTAGCACTTTGGGAGGCAGAGGTGGGTGGATTATTTGAGGTCAGGAGTTCAAGACCATCCTGGCCAATATGGTGAAACCTTGTGTCTACTAAAAATACGGGCCAGGTGCAGTGGTTCACGCCTATAATCCCAGTACTTCGGAAGGCCAAGGCAAGCAGATCACCTGAGGTCAGGAGTTTGAGACTAGCCGGGCCAACATGGTGAAACCTGTGTCCATCAAAAATACAAAAATTAGCTGGGTGTGGTGGCACATGCCTGTAACCCTAGCTATTCAGGAGGCTAAGGCAATAGAATTTTTTGAACCCAGGAGGCAGAGGTTGCAGTGAGCCAAGACACACTGCACTCCAGCCTGGGTGACAAAGCGAGACTCCATCTCAAAAAAAAGAAAAAAAATCCAGGCGTGGTGGCATGCACCTGTAGTCCCAGCTACTCAGAAGGCTGAGGCAGGAGAATCACTTGAACCGGTGAGGCAGAGGTTGCAGTGAGCCAAGATGATGTCACTGCACGACAGCCTGGGTGGCAAAGCAAGACTCCATCTCAAAAAAAAAAAGAATTTAAATTGATTGTTTCTAAATTCATTACAGCCTTAGTGAACCAGTTTTTTTCTGCTGCTTGATTTAAGTAAGGTGGATGTTCACATCATTTTCTGCCTTCTAATGGAAGTATAACACTTGACTATCTCAAATCATGGAGTATCAGGGATAGAAGGACCACATCTTTCAGGACAATGCTATTCTGCTTTGTACTTGTTATGAGACCATTGCTTAACCTCCCTGACCCCAGTTTTTCTCATTTTAAAAGTTGTATTATGGCCAGCTGCATTGGCTCACATCTGTGGTCCCAGCACTCTGGGAGGCCAGAGTGAGATCACTTGAGTCCAGGAAGTCAAGAGACCAGTCTGGGCAATACAGTGAGAACCCCCCCATGTCTAAAAAAAAAAAAAAAAAAAAAAAATTAGCCAGGTGTGGTGGCACATGCCTGTTCCAGCTACTGGGAGGGAAGAAGAGGGTGAGCTGAGGTGGGAGGACTGCTTGAGCCCACTAGGTCAAGGCTGGGCAATGAAGTGAGACCCTGTCTCAAATAAATAATAAAAATAAAAATTGTATTGCAAAGAATGAAATCTGACCTAGCTCTCCAAGTATTCATAAGGATCAGATTATCAGTGGGTGGGTATGTGAGCATATGTGTATATTTATATGTGTTGTATATGTTTTTGTGTATGTATATGGATCAGAATATATAAGCCAACATATACTGTAAATGTATGCAGTATATGTGGCATTACCTTGGACTTAAAAGAGGTCTTTTATTTTTTCTTCAGTGGATATAGCAGAAAACTAGTTTGTTGCTGCACTAGGCTATGAATTTCTAGAGACAAGGACTTTTGTCTAACTCATGTTTATATCTCTGGCACTTAGCAGTAGTTGCTAGCTCGTATTAGATATTCCAAGCTGGGCATGGTAACACACATCTGTAATCCCAGCAGTTTGAGAGGCTGGAGCAGGCAGATCACTTGAGGCTAGGAGTTCAAGACCAGACTGGCCAACGTGGTGAAACCCCATCTCTACTAAAAGTACAAAAATTAGCTGGGCATGGTGTTGCATGCCTGTAGTTCCAGCTACTTAGAAAGCTGAGGCACAAGAATTGCTTGAACCTGGTGGAGGTTGCAGTGAGCCAAGATTATGCCACTGCATTTCAACCTGGGCAACAGAGCAAGACTCTGTCTCAAAATAAATATATTAATTAATTAAAATTTTAAAAGGTATTCCATAAATCTTTTTTAACTTTATATCAAGAAATGTGTATTTTAGGCCAGGCGCAGTGGCTCAAGCCTGTAATCCTAGCACTTTGGGAGGCCGAGGTGGGTGGATCACGAGGTCAAGAGATCGAGACCATCCTGGTCAACATGGTGAAACCCCGTCTCTACTAAAAATACAAAAAATCAGCTGGGCATGGTGGCACGTGCCTGTAATCCCAGCTACTCAGGAGGCTGAGGTAGGAGAATTGCCTGAACCCAGGAGGCAGAGGTTGCGGTGACCTGAGATCACGCCATTGCACTCCAGCCTGGGTAACAAGAGCGAAACTCCGTCTAAAAACAAAAAACAAAAAAGAAATGTGTATTTTAGAACTCTAAATGTTCCTATGTTAGGATTTTTTTTTTCAAGAGTATTTTCTTCATTTTGTTTCCTAAAATTGTCCACAAAATGAAATTTAATAATTTCTAAAAGACTATGAATTTATTCCAGAACATATTCGATATCAATATATTTTTAGTATAAATATATAATAAAAAATTCAGGCCGGGCGCGGTGGCTCAAGCCTGTAATCCCAGCACTTTGGGAGGCCGAGGCGGGTGGATCACAAGGTCGAGAGATCGAGACCAACCTGGTCAACATGGTGAAACCCCGTCTCTACTAAAAATACAAAAAATTAGCTGGGCATGGTGGCGCGTGCCTATAATCCCAGCTACTCAGGAGGCTGAGGCAGGAGAATTGCCTGAACCCAGGAGGCGGAGGTTGCGGTGAGCCGAGATCGCGCCATTGCACTCCAGACTGGGTAACAAGAGCGAAACTCCGTCTCAAAAAAAAAAAAAAAAAATTCAAAAGAAGCCAGGTGCCGTGGCTCATGCCTGTAATCCCAGCACTTTCGGAGGCTGAGGCAGGTGGATCACTTGAGGTCAGAGAAGCCTTGCTAACATGGTGAAACCTCATCTCTACTAAAAATACAAAAATTAGCCAGGCACGGTGGCACGTGCCTGTAATCCCATCTACTTGGGAGGCTGAGACAGAAGAATTGCTTGAACCTGGGAGAATGAGGTTGCAGTGAGCCAAGCTTGCACCACTGCACTCCAGGCTGAGTGACAGAGAGAGACTCTGTCTCAAAAACAAACAAGTAAAGCCAAACATTAAAGAGGCTCTGCATGATGTTATTCTCCAAAGAAACCTTTTTAAATTTCTTTTGTAGTTCAGTGTTACTATATGTTATCATTTTTCTTCAGTCTAAAGAATATTTAGTATTTCTTTTTTTTTCTCTTTCACCTCACCAGGAAGTACCAGGGCAGTGAATATTTAGTATTTCTTATAATACACATCTGCATATAGTGAATTATCTCAGCTTTTGTTTGTAAACATATTTATTTAATATTCATTTATGAAAAATATTTTTGCTGTATATAGAATTCTATATTGACAGTGACTTTTTTTTTTCCTCTTTAAAAATGTCATTCTGTTGTTTTGCTGATATCCACAGTCTGTTGTTGGTCTTGTTATTGCTCCTTTGAAAGTAATTTGTCTTTTATTCTTTGGCAAGGTTTTCAGATTTTTTTTTTTTTTTTTGAGACAGAGTCTCACTCTGTTGCCCACGCTGGAGTGCAGTGGCACAATGTCTGCTCACTGCAACCTCCACCTCCTGGATTGGACCAATTCTCATGCCTGAGCCTCCTGAGTAGCTGGAATTACAGGCACACACCACCACATCCAGCTAATTTTTGGTTTTTTTTTTTTTTTTTTTTTTTTTTTTGAGACGGAGTTTCGCTCTTGTTACCCAGGCTGGAGTGCAATGGCGCGATCTTGGCTCACCGCAACCTCCGCCTCCTGGGTTCAAGCAATTCTCCTGCCTCAGCCTCTTCAGTAGCTGGGATTACAGGCACGTGCCACCATGCCCAGCTAATTTTTTGTATCTTTAGTAGAGAAGGGGTTTCACCATGTTGACCAGGATGGTCTTGATCTCTCGACCTTGTGATCCACCCGCCTCTGCCTCCCAAAGTGCTGGGATTACAGGCTTGAGCCACCGTGCCCGGCCCAATTTTTGTATTTTTAGCAGAGGCGGAGTTTCTCCATGTTGGCCAGGCTGGTCTTGAACTCCTGACCTCAGGTGATCGCCTGCCTTGGCCTCCCAAAGTGCTGAAATTACAGGTATGAGCCACTGTGCCCAGCTGGTTTTCAGATTTTTTTTTCTTTGACTTTGGTTTTCAGCAGTTTCACTGTGATGTGCCTAGTACAGTTTTCTTTGTCTATGTGGGATTTATTGAGCTTTTTGAAATTGTGAGTTAATGCTTTTTGTTAGTTTTGTAAAATTCTAGGCCATTATCTCTTCAAATATTGCTGCTGCCTTATTCAGTCTTTCTTCTTGCCTGTGTGACTATATACTACATATCTGTTGTGTTCTTTTATGGATTTCTTAAAATTCCTTTTCTTACACTGTCTTTCAATAGGATGTTTTTCTAATTATCTTTTAGTTCAGTACTTCTTTTTTTTTTTTTAAGTTCGAGGTTTTCTCTCGTTGCCCAGGCTAGAGTGCAATGGCATGATCTTGGCTCACTGCAACCTCCACCTCCCAAGTTCAAGCGATTATCCTGCCTCAGCCTCCCAGGTAGCTGGGATTACAGTCATGTGCCACCAACGCCTGGCTGATTTTTGTATTTTTAGTAGATATGGGGTTTTACCATCTCTTAGGCTGGTCTTGAACTTCTGACCTTAGGTGATTCACTTGCCTTGGCCTCCCAAAGTGTTAGGATTACAGGTATGAGCCACCTAGCCTAGTTCACTATTTCTTTTGCTATATCCAGATTCCTGCTAAAACCATCTGATGACTTTAATTTCAGATATCACATATTTTTAGTTTTAAATGTCTGTTTCTTTTTTTTGAGACGGAGTTTCACTCTTGTTACCCAGGCTGGAGTAGTGCAATGGCGCGATCTCGGCTCACCGCAACCTCCGCCTCCTGGGTGCAAGCGATTCTCCTGCCTCAGCCTCCTGAGTAGCTGGGATTACAGGCACGTGCCACCATGCCCAGCTAATTTTTTGTATTTTTTTTTTTTTAGTAGAGACGGGGTTTCACCATGTTGACCAGGATGGTCTCGATCTCTCGATCTCATGATCCACCCGCCTCGGCCTCCCAAAGTGCTGGGATTACAGGCTTGAGCCACCGCACCTGGCCAAATGTCTGTTTCTTTTTATAGATTCTAGTTTTCCACTGAAACTATCTTTTTATCCGTTTTGTCTTTTCCTCTTATTTTCTTGAATATATTACTCATAGTAATTTTTCCATTCCTGTTTGATGATGCCAATATCCAAATCACTTTGGGAATGATTCTTTTGTCTTTTGTTTGCCTTAGTTTTTAGTCATTCTTGCCTGTTTTTTTAACATACCTTATAATTTTTTAAAATAGCATGTTAGACATTATAGGCAAAAAATTATAGTGGTGCTACGTGACGTTATTCTCCAAAAACAGTTGTTTTCTTTTAGCACGCAGGGTGCTGACAGATCACTTTGATCTTGTTAAGGCTTGGTTTTGGGCATTGTTAAAGCTGCTCTGTTTTGGCTTTGAACTTTAAATAATTTTTTTTTTTTTTTAATTTGGAGATGGAGTCTCGCCTGTTGCCCATTCCTAGGGCATGATGGTCCTTACCTCCAGAATGTAGCCCGTCTGGGTTGTTGCCTAATGTTCCTCACTGGCCTTCAGGGAGTTTGAACTCTAATCTCTCTCCCCAGCACTGTGTATCTGATAAAAATTTCTGCTCAGTTCTTGAATTTCTGAATTCCATTTTTTTGCTGGCCCCTTGGAATCTCTTCCCATACACACACAACTTAGAAGATGACCAGTAATTTAAGGAAAATTTGTAGGCAGATTTTAGAGGTACTTTTTGGTCTGTAATTCATTCATCTCTAGAGTTTTTGCCTCTCAAGCCTTACCCATTTTGGTAGTCCTGAATTCTAACTTTTCTCTCTTCGGCTTAATCAAATAGCCGTTTTCTGGTTGGGCTCAACTCCTCCATGGTGTCATTTGGCAGTGGTCTTAGTAAAAGAGCCAAGGCTTACAATCCCTCAGGTTTTTCTTGCTTGTGTTGATTATTTTCCAGTGCCTTCAGAGAGCTGTTTTATAAATATTATGCAGCTTTTTAATATAGCTGTCTTCTATGGGAAGATTCGCCTAATAACAAGCTGTTCTATCATGGCAGGACTCAAGAGTCCTGTATCTAGATTTTTGTTTTTGTAAGCATTATTTGAACTGTGTATATATGTATATGTTTTTTAATTTTGAGACAGAGTCTTGCTCTGTCACCCTGACTGGAGTGCAGTGGTGCGATCTCAGCTCACTGCAACCGCCACCTCCTAGGTTCAAGTGATTCTCCTGCTTCAGCTTCCCAAGTAGCTGAAACTACAGGCACGTGCCACCACACCCAGCTAATTTTTGTATTTTTAGTCGAGGCAGGGTTTCACCATATTGGCCAGGCTGGTCTCAAACTCCTGACATCATGATCCACCTGCCTCAGCCGCCCGAAGTGCTGGGATTACAGTTGTGAGCCACCATGCCCGGCATAAATAATTGGGTTTTTAAAAATCTTTTTTTTCTTTAGATTTTTGTACCTCTTTAGAGCTATATAACCCAATCTAAATATGAAGTGCATTTTTCAGAACTGATCCCTGTAAGATATATCTAGCAAAGTAAAAAGTTTTGGCCATATATTCTAGTATAATAAATATTACAAACTTGTTACTTAACGTTTGAACCAAAAGCATGCATAATAAAATGAGAAATGTTTTTAGCATATATAGTAAAAATATAATTATGTTATATAAAGTATTTAAGTTCCTAAAAGTGTTGTTTTCTGAGCTCTTATTTTGTGTGAAATATATGCTCTAACATTATGGATATTTGCAGGTCTCGACACAGGCGATTTTCATATAGCCAGTCTAAATCTCGTTCCAAATCATTACCAAGGCGGTCTACCTCAGCAAGGCAGTCAAGAACTCCAAGAAGGAATTTTGGCTCTAGAGGACGGTCAAGGTCCAAGTCCTTACAAAAAAGGTCCAAGTCAATAGGAAAATCACAGTCAAGTTCACCTCAAAAGCAGACTAGCTCAGGAACAAAATCAAGATCACATGGAAGACATTCTGACTCAATAGCAAGATCCCCATGTAAATCTCCCAAAGGGTATACCAATTCTGAAACTAAAGTACAAACAGCAAAGCATTCTCATTTTCGGTCACATTCCAGATCTCGAAGTTATCGTCATAAAAACAGTTGGTGAACAGCAACAGAAAGAGCACTACGTAGTCTTTAATATAAGTTATTAAACCTCTCATTATGTTAAATAAAAATTCCTTAAGGTGTACAGAAAATGCGAGTTGATATTAGTTACTTTGGGCATATGGAAGAAATAAAATCTCTCTAGCTTTGTATTAATAAAAATTTGGTCTCCATTTAAAGGGCCCACACCACAAATTATGATTCGTCTAATGTCACCATTTTATGGACCATTTTTTATTTACATTGTGGCAGAAGAGTACTTTTCAAGGGAAATGAGTAAACGGGAACTAATTTTTAAAATTCTACTTGGATAGTATTAGTACTATTAATAATACCTTTTACACAAATATTTTTGACTTTAAAGCACTTTCCTGTAAAAAGTAACTACGACTGTATAATTGCATAGAGCAGACTTAAACCGTTTGACACCTATGTGTCTTTTGGGTCTTCTGTTTAAACTTGGACCAATTCCTGGTGGATATTAGTTCATATTACAAAATTCTGATGTTCCAGAAAGTAGAATTTATATAGAGATCAAACATTCTCTCCTAAGCTCAACAGTTATATTTTTATTGGGTAGAACAGTATAGGTGAGGTGTCATGAAATTGCATCCTATACCATGTCCACATTAGTAATGTCAAAACATTTGTGAATTAATGGATTTTGAATGGTTTGAGACTAATGCTTTAAAAATTAAGATGAGTAACACAATCCAAAAATATTCATATTAAGCCTTACACATTTGAAGGGTGGTACATTTTGTATAAAATCATATTTGATACCATTATTTCCACATATCTACTTTTCACCTGCTGCTTAATTTTTTCTTTTTAGAGTTCTAGCTCTGCTTTATACAGTATAAGTCTTATTATTTTTGAAAGAGTGTTTAGTACCTTGTATTAAGAAACTTGGACAAGCATGGTGGCTCACACCTGTAATCCCAGCGCTTTGGGAGGCCGAGGCGGGCGGATTGCTTGAGTCCAGGAGTTTGAGACCAGCCTGGGCAACATGGTGAAACCTTGACTCTAAGATTTAAAAAAAAGAAGAAGAAAGTCAAGACTACATCTTCAAAAAACAACTTTGCAGTATTTGAATTTTACATTAGACTGCCTTCATTTCTGACAGCCAAATAACTTTGTTGATACTGATTGCTTTTGTAGTTGTTTTAACTAATAATTTCTTTGAAAATGTGTTTGTAGTTTATGTTTTTCAAAGGGTTTTGGTCGTATTTGTGATAGAATGGTTTTGCATATGATTATTATAGGGGATATATTTATAGAGCTCTACTTGTATACTTTGTGACTTATATTATGAAAACTTAAAAGTTCTCAACCCATACAGTTAGTATTTGTATCCAGAGTGTTAAAGAAAAAAAATCTGTCTTATATTTTTAGTATATAGGAGCCAGTGTTGCTTCTATTTGTTTTGAATACAAATTCCATTTTTCTTTGCATATTAGATCCTATGTGTAAGAAGAAACTTTACACAATAATTTGTATGCTGATAATATTTGGACAAGTGCCATAAATTCATGTATATTGTACTTTCTGAATAGATTTTCTCCAATCATAGCAAAATTTATTTATTTCAAAATGACAACTCTTTGAAATGCTCAGCTATAATAAAATTTAGTTATAAAATTATGTGGCACCACTGAAAATCTAAAGGATAATCTGAAGAATGAGTAAGACAAATATTGATAGTAATTTTTAGTATTTTCAAAAGGGTTCACACACATAAATCATTTTAAAAACTAGGGCTAGGCATAGTGGCTTATGCCTGTAATCCTAGCACTTTGGGAGGCCAAGGCAGGAGGATCGCTTGAGGCCAGAAGTTTGAGACCAGCCTGGGCAACATAGCAAGACCCCTGTATCTATAAAAATAATAATAACTAGGTACCATATTTCAGATACTATAGTGAGAAATAACTTGGGATTAATTATAGTATCTTTACTCTGTATTCACAAATTATCTCTATATTCCCAAACATATTTAATACCTTGATTTACCTCTGACTAGGTTTGTCATTGTAATCCCTAGATTACCTAGGAGGATACTGTTTGGTTTGATGTAAAAGCTGGAATGATAATAGCTCAAACTTTTGAGCATTTAGTACATGCTTGGCACTTTTCTGTATGTTTTAGGTTATTCACTCATGTATTTAATTATCAACACCCTTATAAGGTAAATATCCCACAATTACTTTTGCACCAACCTAATACCATTACAGACAAGGAAATAGATGCAGAGAAGCTAAGTTACAAGGGCACATGGCATTTAAACTTTGGATCTGTAGAGTGACTGGGCTTCAGAGTTCTCTTCCTGACTTCTATTCCCATGGCTTTTGCAAAGAGAAGTCTTTAACAAGTATATGCTTAATTAAGATCATGTTTAGAAGGAAATGACAGAATAGAATTAGAAAAAGAAATGACCACAGGCTTCAATGCAAATGACTTTTGTGCTTGGGTGAAATTGTTTGGTTGGGTATCCTGGAAAATTTTCTTCTGGGAATATGTATATTCTAGGGTTCACTTTTGTCATAGAATTGTTTCTTGGCCCATTTAAGAGAGATACTTTAAGTTGTTTATTAATAAACCAAATGTTTTAATTTTTAGACATCTGCGATCAATTCTTTTTGAGAATATATTTACTTAAGGACTTCCCAAGTTTAGGGCAGGGGTACTACCTACCATTTATTCAGGATCAGAGAGGATAAGTTAAGGTCAAAGAAAAGAAAGACTACCATGACAGCTGCTTGTTTTCCTTCTACCTGTGAATAATGCACAAATTATTTATGTAGCAGCTGATATTTTTCAGTGCTAACAGATAATAGGGGAATTTGCTGAAATTTTTATTTGAAGCCTTGGATTTAATTTTATGTTACTGGGCTAATTTATTTTTAAATGTAAATTAATTTCAGTATTTTATTTGTAACATTTACTTGAGATCTATTCTAAGACACGCTGTTGCATTACAAATAAGAATTGGTGCTTTTTTGCCGGGCGCGGTGGCTCAAGCCTGTAATCCCAGCACTTTGGGAGGCCGAGGCAGGTGAATCACAAGGTCAAGAGCTCGAGACCATCCAGGCCAACACGGTGAAACCCCGTCTCTACTGAAAATACAAAAAATTAGCTGGGCATGGTGGCGTGTGCCTGTAATCCCAGCTACTCAGGAGGCTGAGGCAGGAGAATTGCCTGAACCCAGGAGGTGGAGGTTGCAGTGAGCAGAGATTGCGCCATTGCACTCCAGCCTGGGTAGCAAGAGCGAAACTCAGTCTCAAAAAAAAAAAAAAAAAAAAATTGGTGCTTTTATTTAGATCCCACTGCCAGAGGCAAAATTAGTCAACATTTAAAGGAAGGCATATGCAAATACTTTTGTAATCCTTCTAAACTACATTAAAATTGTAATTTCTGGGGGCCGGGCGCGGTGGCTCAAGCCTGTAATCCCAGCACTTTGGGAGGCCGAGGCGGGTGGATCACGAGGTCAAGAGATCGAGACCATCCTGGTCAACATGGTGAAACCCCGTCTCTACTAAAATACAAAAAATTAGCTGGGCATGGTGGCTCGTGCCTGTAATCCCAGCTACTCAGGAGGCTGAGGCAGGAGAATTGCCTGAACCCAGGAGGCGGAGGTTGCGGTGAGCCGAGATCGCGCCATTGCACTCCAGCCTGGGTAACAAGAGCGAAACTCCGTCTCAAAAAAAAAAAAAAAATTGTAATTTCTGTCTGAGCGTGGTGGCTCACACCTGCAATCTCAGCACTTTGAGAGGCTGAGGTTGGCAGATTACTTGAAGCCAGGAGACCAGCTGGCAACATGGTGAAAGCACATCTCTACTAAAAAAATAGCAAAAATATTAGCCTGGCATGGTGGCACATGCCTGTAATCCCAGCTACTCAGGAGGCTGAGACACAGGAATCTCTTGAACCTGGGAGGTGGAGGTTGCAGTGAGCCCAGATGGCACCACTGTACTCCAGCCTGGGATACAGAGCAAGACTCTATCTCAAAAAAAAAAAAAAAAAAGAAAGTAATTTGTTAGAATTTTAAAAATTAAATTTGTTTTCCAAAGAGGGTAGTAGAACATGTAGGGTACTTGTATAGATAGATGAATGTCACTTAATGCAGTACAGTCTGGTGCAGGGGCTCTTAACCTGGCATAATAGACCCAAGAGCTTCAGGTCTAGGCCCTGCGAAGTGAAATGCCAAACTACTGTATGTGCAGTTCTCAAAAGAAAGGTGATGTAGTTTTATATGATTTTGAAACAAGTCCATGACTCCCAACGGTTTAAGGACTGACAGTTTAGTGAGACATACTGATTTTGAAGTCAGATTCAGTTTGAATTCCACACACGTATTTACTAGCTATGCAACCTTGGACAAATTACCTAACATCTGTGAACCTCAATTTCTTTACCTGTAAAATGTGGATATATTTGCCCCATTGGGTCTTTAGGGTTTAAAAAAAATGCTTGGGGGGAAAAGATGCTTAGCAGAATGCCAAGTACCTGATAGGCATTCAAATGTCAATTTCCTTATTTAAATATTTAGAAAACATTTCCTTGTACTAAATGGGGATTATGCACCTTAGCATTTAAATCACTCCCTGGATGAAAGTAGTGTATTTAGGAACATAGCATTTAACTCTGACATTGGTCTACCAAGTCTTGATTTTGTCACCCTGGAAAAATTTTTTATCTTGTATACCTTTAAAAAGATGCTGATCAAATTAAGCACACAGATAAATTGAGCCATGTAACTTTTTTGATATCATAGACTGGGTTGCTTAAAAAGCTGGGCAAGGTGGCTCATGCCTGTAATCCCCACAATGGGAGGCTGAGGGAGGAGGATTGCTTGAGCTCAGGAGTTTAAGACCAGTCTGGGCAACAGAGCAAGACACCATTTCTAAAAATTAGCCAGGTATGGTGGCACATGCCTGTAGTCCCCAGCTACTCAGGAGGCTGGGGAGGGAGGATTGTTTGATCCCAGGAGGTTGAGACTGCAGCAAGCGCACCACTGCACTCCAGCCTGAGCAACAGAGTAAGACACTATCTTAACACCATCAAGAGAAATACCTTCTTATAATAGTCCTTAATAGAAGTGTTAGGTATTTCAGGTTGATTCAGCATCTCAAGTTAAAACAGTACTTCAGCCGGGCGCGGTGGCTCAAGCCTGTAATCCCAGCACTTTGGGAGGCCGAGGCGGGTGGATCACGAGGTCGAGAGATCGAGACCATCCTGGTCAACATGGTGAAACCCCGTCTCTACTAAAAATACAAAAAATTGGGCCGGGCGCGGTGGCTCAAGCCTGTAATCCCAGCACTTTGGGAGGCCGAGGCGGGTGGATCACGAGGTCGAGAGATCGAGACCATCCTGGTCAACATGGTGAAACCCCGTCTCTACTAAAAATACAAAAAAATAGCTGGGCATGGTGGCACGTGCCTGTAATCCCAGCTACTCAGGAGGCTGAGGCAGGAGAATTGCCTGAACCCAGGAGGCGGAGGTTGCGGTGAACCGAGATCGCGCCATTGCACTCCAGCCTGGGTAACAAGAGCGAAACTCCGTCTCAAAAAAAAAAAAAGAGGGTCTCGATCTCCTGACCTTGTGAGCCACCTGCCTTGGCCTCCCAAAGTGCCAGGATTAACTGTGAAGGAAAGTTGAATAAAAAGTAAATGTACATAGACTACCATACCCCAAGACTACTATTTTCCAAAACGTAGTATCATGATGTTTTTATTCTGTTTTGGAAAAAGGATTATATAATTACTCTTTCCTGAATTTTACATTCTAGGAATATAGCATTACTGAATTTGTGAAAAGAAATACTGCCAACTTAGGTAGATGGATACTTAATGGTTATCTTTTAAGTACTACGTTATTTTTAAGCATATGTTTGGTTCACATAATTTAAAACACCATACTCAACCTACATCTGTTTATAAACTAGTAAATAGGTCACAAATTAAA